GAAGTGAGTTGTCCTTCTTGGGAACCATGACGACATTGGCGAGCCACTCGGAGTGGTATATCTCTCGGATAAACTCTGCTGCAAGGAGTCGAGCCACCTCCTCGCCAATGGCCTTTTTCTTCTGAACGGCGGACCGTCGAAGATGTTCTTTAACAGGTTTCGCTTTTGAGTCGACTCTAAGGCGATGCTCAGCCAGCCCCCCGGGAACACCCGGCATGTCAGCTGGCTTCCATGCAAAGATGTCCCAGTTCTCATGGAGGAACTGGATGAGCGCTTCTTCCTATTTAGAGTCGAGTGTTGTGGAAATATGGGTCGGAGCTGCATTGGGGTCAGTCGGATGGATATGAACTGGCTTCGTCTCCACAGACGACTAAAACGCTGACTCTGTGGCGGGCTTCTTGGCCCGCAGCAAATCACTCGGATCTGCATTCTTCTTGTATTCCTCCAGCTCTACCACTGTTATCTGGTCATCCGCAATCTTTGAGCCTTTCTGGAAACACTCTTCTGCCTTCTTCCGGCTGCCAGTGATAGTGATCACGCCTTTGGGGCCAGGCATCTTTAATTTGAGGTATACATAACATGGTCGAGCCATGAAGCGGGCATAGGCTGGTCTTCCCAAAATAGCGTGGTAGGCGCTTCGGAAATCCACGACTTCAAATGTCAGCTTCTCTTTGTGGAAATGCTTCGAGTCGCCGAACACTACATCCAGAGCTATTTGGCCGAGTGACTCAGCCTTCTTTCCAGGGATGACTCCATGAAAACTCAAGTTGCTGGAACTAAGCCTGGACATCGGAATGCCCATTCCCTTGAGCGTCTCTGCATATAGTATATTTAATCCACTGCCGCCATCCATCAGTACCTTCGTCAGTCGAGTGTCTTCGACGACTGGGTCAACCACCAGCGCTTGCCTCCCAGGGGTGGCAATGTGAGTGGGGTGATCAGACTGGTCAAAAGTGATGGGAGTTTGCGATCATCTCAGATAGCTTGGTATCACCGGGGCGACCATGTTGACCTCACGGTTAATCACTTTCAGTCGACTTTTGCTCTCTACATCAGCAAAAATCATCAGTGTGGAGTTGACATGAGGGTACTCTCCATCACTGTCCTCCTTGTCCTCAGCCTTGTCCGACTCCTTCTCTTTATCCTTCGACTGTTTCCCTTGAAACTGCTGGATCAAGAGCCGGCAGTGGCGAGTGGTATGCTTTGGGTAGATGAAGTTACCCTCTTCGTCTTTCTTCGTGTGGATATGACACGGTAGATCCATCACGTCGTTACCTTCCTTATCTTTTACCTTCTTGGGGTTCCAAGATCCTTTGGGCTTCCCTTTGAATTTGCCCTGAGTCACGGCTAGAGCCTCTCCAGGAGCAGCTGGCTCGGCCTTCCGCTTCTGCTTCCGACTGGAGTTTCCTTTTTCCGACTGACTCGGCTTGTACTTGCCACTCCGGAGTCGGTCCTCTTCTTCGCCATTGGCGTACTTGGTGGCTATTTCCATCATCCGACTCAAGGTCATATCTCTAGTTCGACCAAACTTCAGGCTCAACTCTCTGTTCTTGACACCATCCTTGAAGGCGCAGACCGCTTGATGGTCTGACACATTCTCTACAGTATGATGCAAAGTGATCCATCTCTGGATGTAATCTCTCAGAGTTTCACTCGACTTTTGTACGCAAACTTGCAGCTCTGTCAGTCCGGCTGGTCGCTTGCAAGTTCCCTCGAACGTCCTGACGAACACTCGGGAAAGATCTTCCCAGGTGTAAATGCTGCTAGGAGCTAACTGATTCAACCATGCCCTGGCCGAACCCTCTAGCATAAGTGGCAAATGCTTCATGGCCACCTCATCATTACCGCCACCAATCTGAACAGCCACTCGGTAGTCTTCAAGCCAAGTTTCAGGCTTAGACTCTCCGGTGAACTTACTCACTCCAGTCGCCAACCTGAAGTTGGGGGGTATCACTGCGGCTCTGATGGCTCTGCTAAAGCATTCTGGACCTGAAACGTGGACTCGGCTGCTTGTGGGCACATCTCTGTCATGGCCACCTCTATGAGCTCTGTTCCGGTCGACCAAACCTTGCACGATGATGGATCTCGCGTCGAAGCCTGGCTCTCTGGGGTCGACTGGAGCTCTCCGCCCAACACTGAGCTGGCGTCTATCATCTTGCTGCCGATGGATGTTAGACCCACTTCTCGGGGAGGAGTGGGCACTCGACGCCTGTCATCACGATCAAATCGATCATCATAGTGGTCCTGCTGGCCTTCACGTCCCACGCGCCTCGGAGGCGACCTTGGACTGTGAGCCGACTGAACAGTATTCGCAGCGACGGATCGACTGTGAATCCTGTTGCGTGACTGTGACACAGCTGAATTCTGATCTCCTGCCGCCCGGAGCAAATCCCTGATCTGCATCAAGCCTCTTCCAGCCTCCGACTGAGAGGGCTGAATTAACTCTGCTATACGGGCTGCAGCTGCCAAATTTTGAATCGGGGTTTGATATACCTGAGTCGGTTGCGGAAAGAGCTGGTGTCGGCGGGAGTCGGGTACTCGCTGACGCGCACGCTCGTCGAGTGCTCGCTGGAGGTTCTCCAGTCGAGTGCGTCCAGCCAAGTTGGCCAAACACGCCTCTTCCAGGGCACGAGCCTCAGGGGTTTCTCCTGCAATGGGAGTATGCAGGGCATCCATGTTCCGGCGGCGAAGTTCTTCCCTCTGCTGAGAAGTGAGTGGCTCGGGCTGATACTCTTCGTGGGCCTGAGCGAGGTCGCCCCCGTCGTCCATCCCGTCGTTGCGGGGGAAACCGGGAGGACTACGAGGCCCGTTGACCATCAGGACCTCCGCCGCTGGATCACTGCTATCGCACTTGGATGCAGTCTCTACGGAGCCAGTCGACAGGTCGAACAGGCCGTAGAGAGATTCGTCGGGCTCAATTGCCGCGACTTGGGTGGTGGCCGATTGGCGAGCCACTGCGTGTCTCACCCATCGCTGGAGCCTCGACCGACCGGAGCGCTTGCGCTGGCGGGAGACAGGGAGGGAGGACGGCACAGGAGTCGATCGGTATGGGGTCGACGGCTGCCACAGCAGGACGCCGCGGACACACGCCCGAAAGTGCTTCGCCCCGCGGACGGGGAGCGCGTCGATGTCGAGTGGTGCCTCCTGGAGCCAAGCGGAGTCGTCGGCGATGAAAGCGAGCGCACCGAGACGGATCTCACGACCCTCGACCAGAACTCTGCCGAAAACCATGATGAAGGCGATCGGACAAATTGCAACTTCTCCAAAAAGTCCTAAGACACCTGCCCCAAGGTGGGCGCCAACTGTCGTGGTTTTAAGTCTGACAGTAGAATGGGGGGTAGGTATGGAGAGGCAAGATCATAACTATGGAGTAGTTGTACACACGAGTGTTTTACGAGTTCAGGTCCTTCTCTGAGGAAGTAAAAGCCCTACGTCTCGGAGCCCGGAGGCAGTCGACTGGTTTATGTGTATAAGAGTTATAGGAGTGCGAACCCTTCTACCAGTGGAGGGGGGTGGCTTATATAGAGGACGCCAGGACCCCAGCTAACCCATGTAGCAGAGGGTTAAAGTACATTAAGGCCGGGCGTTACTGGTAATGCCCTACATAAAGTGTCATCATGACCATTAAGACTACTTAATTACAGACCGTTTGGATACAGAGTAGATCCTGAACTCCTGATGGTCGAGTGAGTCTTCATGGTCGAGTGTCTTTAGATTCGTCGAGTGTCTTCTAACCGGTCGAGTGGAGTCTCTCTTGGTCGACTGGAAGGTAGCTTCGTCTAAGGATGTCCTTGGGTATGGTATCCTAGATAGGTCCATGACCCTATCCTAGATACGTAACATCATCAGCAGCTCCACCTTGGGCAGCTCCGGCTTGGGTGGCAGGTGCACGTCAGGGACCGGCGGAAGCTCCACCTTGGGCAGGTGCACTTCTCGGAACGGTGGCAGCTCCACCTTGGGAAGCGATGGCACCTCGGGCTGGTGCTCCTCCTTGGACGGAACGGTATCCTCTAGGAAACGAAGCTGGTACCAAATGAAACTAGGAACTATCTAGCATTCCAGCTTGAATGTGAAGAGAACTGAATAGTAGGTGCTAGCCTTTTTGTTAGAAGAAAAATATATATATGATCTAATCTGAACGTGTCCCAACAATGCTATACAGAACATATTTTTTTTTTCTGTATTTACCACGCTTGCTAGGATCAGAAACACCAGCAGCAATTAGTGAAGAGCCCTCACCACCACAAAATTACAAAAAAGGAGATAAAAAGGAAATAAGGTTTGTACAGTACTGGAATCCTGTAGTGAGTTCTGAAGCAGAACCATACACAGCTGCACTAGTCAAATGATTGCTGGATAAAAAATTTGTTTGGACTGTACAGATTAGTCAACGAATAAGGAGTAATGCTACCTTAGTTACGTATTTAACATAATGTGTGACGTGTGGGCTGTTGATTGAAGATTGGGGGAGCGAGGAGCCCACCCCCATGAAAATCAAAGGGGAGAGAGTACTAGTGGGAGTCGGACTGAGAGAGTATAGACTATGCTTGGCATCTATGCTTCCCTCTCAGACTCCAACTCCAATTCAGTGACCTCATCCTCGCTACGAGCTTGCTTTTCCTGAGATTCTAAAACCCAAAAAGTTTATTCTCATTTGTACAAGGTTGGATTGGGGAGTGCGTGCGGTGATTTCTCGGTGAAAGAATATAAAGTGAAAAGTAATCTTCTGGTGAGAATTATTGATAGAATGAATCGTGCATGAGGAGAACAGTCCAAACTTTTCAAATATTTCTTGAAGGAAAGGGAAATACCTTGATGTAAACATCCATCTGTTTTGTACATGTACATTCCATCTAAATAGGCGCCATAGGTAATTAAGTGCTTCACATCACACAAATGACTCGCCGAAAATCCAGACTAAATAACCACATGGAAGACACAACACGAGCAACGGGTGCATGTAGGAGCACAAGCAAAGAGAAGATAAGTGAAGACAGTCTTCATGGCTTAGCCTCCGGCTTCGGGAAGTGGAACTCCGGGATGGCGGGCATCTCAGGCTTCGGTGGCAGTTCAACCTTGGGCAGCTCCGGCTTGGCTGGAAGGTGCACCTCCGGGAATGTTGGCAGCTCGGGCTTGGGTGGCAGGTGCACCTCAGGGAACGACGGCAGCTCTACCTTGGGCAGCTCAGGTTTAGGTGGCAGATGCACCTCCGGGAATGGCGGCAGCTCGACTTTGGGCAGCGCTGGCAGCTCCGGCAGGTGCTCCTCGCCTTTGGAAGGAGCCGTCTCCTCCAGGATTCTTGCCCCGCTGCTCATGGCGACGCACGAGAGGAGCAGCCCGACGAGGAATAAAGCAGTGTTTCTTGAAGCCATTTTGATGGATGCCTATGGTTGTACTAGCTTGTGTGATGTGGTTTTGATGTGGAAGAGATAACAGCTGCTACGTTCTATTTATAGAGTTCGAAAACGCTTGCATGTCATGCGGGTCCAATGCTTTGCAAGTAGGCAGGTCACCTACTCGCCTGCTCGCAGTTCTCGGTTTATGTGTGCTCTTTAGTTTCATAGTCTAAGTCTGGCTGCCTGCTTACGATCTGATTTGGGTGAAGGGAGAATCTGCTTGGTAGTTCTCTTGGCTGTTAGGCCAGCTGCTAAGACGAAATAACTTGTCCAAGGGACCATCAAATCACACATGAACACAAGAAAGTTTGGACATCTGCATTGACTCTTGCTGCCATCAGTAGGACTCCTCCCCTTTCTTCCTACTTCCTCCTCCCACATCCGAGCTCGACGTTAGCAGCGCCCAAACGGTGATGCTATAAGAGTAATGCGTGACCATTTGGTCCTTCGATTTTTCTAGATGGGATTCAATTTCTTGATAAACGAAATTTATTGAGATCGAAAAGAGCTATATCTCTGCATAAATACGCTGAAGACATGAATGATGCTTTTGGCAAAAAAAGAAGAAGGATGCACACAGTGAAATACAGTTTTGGGTCTCTAAACTTGTCCACCCTGATCACCTAGGCCTGAAGTGGTAGTTGCCCATTTGTCTCGAGAGTACTATTAAGTTCATGTCATAAATTAAGATAAGAGGGAAAGAGAGTACAACGGTGGCAGCGACCAGACAAAACGACTATTATGATTGTTACGTCAGCTTCAAACCTACTCCGTACTTAATTTGTCAGCCTGGTCGCTTAACTAGTGATGTGTTCACTGTGGTGCCAGTGTGAGTCTCACTCAATATTCAGAATAGTTGGGCACTCGGTCATGTTGTTATGGTTGTTTTTTGTACTACTATTATTATTTTCCTTTTGAATATTGCTAACCTAGTTTCATCCTACAAAAGAACAAAATGGCACATATTTCCCACCGAACCAAACACCACAATTCGGATTAACGTAGAAAATTGGTCCCGCACCCCTCATCAACACCTTCTGTGTTGACACCTGCCACCTTGGTTCACTCGATGTCAATCATGCATGCACTAGTTGGCCGCTCTATTGACACCCTCCTGCTCACCAAGGGTACGACAGGTGATGCAAACTCAAAAATGACAATGTGTGAGCCATAAATAGCGGGTGCTAAAGCTAGGAGTAGCACGGCTTGAGGTAGAAGAAAAACGTGTAGGATTTTACATCTTGTCAATGGGAAAATGATAGGCGCAAACAAATCATGCGCTGAAAAGTGTAGTGTAAGGAATCATGCATACTTTTCAAGTGATCTTAAATAAAAGGTGGACAGTGATACCAAAACATATTTCTCGTATATATCAAATATGGACTGTCATACCACCGATCCTTATAGATAACTGAAACATATAGAAGGCCTCGTTCCGCTGACACATATAGAAGGCCTCGTTCCGCTCGATCGAACGAGCGTTTGAAATTGGCTCGATCGTAGGAGGCTTCCACCAATTTTTTTCCTCCCGATTTTTATTTTCAAAATGGTTTTTTTCTCCCGGTTTTATGCTAGTTAATTTAGGTGGAAAGAAAAAGAAATAATAAAGTGTTTAAAAGAGGAATTCAACTCAGGTCTAATGCATGCTCGCTATGACTAATAACCAACTCACCCATCTTAAGTTGTTGTCCATAGTATGCAAACAACGGAATTTGAACCCTTCTTCTTTCTACCATGTGAACGAAAAGCTTAATTTTAGGCTTGATAACTTTGGCCGAGCAGCATGATAACTATGACATGTGCATGCTGATAACTTCAAACATTAACACCCCTGGTTAAAAAAATGACATGATAAAGCTGGTAACTATATCATGAGAACATCGGTAACTACAGCGTGAAAATCACAATAACTTTAACATGTGCAACATGATAATTTGGTCAAAATTTAAAGTGCGGGCCGGGGAGGGGGGGTGGTTGAACAACCCCCTTCCCCTTCGTGAAAGTTACAACGACGTTTGAAGTGTACGTTATGTTTTTCGGAGGAAGCCTAATAGCATACAAAAACAGGACAAAAAAACATGAAGTTTTGACATACTACATCCCATGTTTCAAATTACCGCGATGTTTATACAATTATCAAGTTTCACTTCGTTTAATATCATGCAATTTACACATAAGTTACTAGGGTAAATTTTTCAATAATTTTTTTTCTCATAGGTAAAAAATTAACGCGGTGTTTCCCCGAAAAAAATTACCACGGTGTTTGTACATAAGTTATCAGTTCTTCGGTTTGTGTATTAACGTGTTATTTGCATACAATTTACCAAGGGTATGTTTTTCAACCACCTTTCCGCTTTTGGTCAATGTTACCGTGGTGTTTATACCCAAGTTATCAGATCTGCAGTTCGTATATTATCATGGCACTTACACACAAGTTATAGATTGTATGTTTTTCAACAACTTTTGCCCTTCGCAAAGAAGTTACCGCGGTGCTTATTCGTATATTACCATGCTATTTTCACATAAGTTACCAAGGGTGTGTTTTTAAACAACTTTTTCCTGTTTGGTCAATGGAACCGCGGTGTTCTATACGTAAACTATCGGGTGTGTGACACATATATTACCGTACTATTTACACATAAATTAGCGAGCATATGTTTTTCAACAAAAAGTTTTCCGAGTCAGAAAGTTATCGTCATGTTTTGTATGTAAGTTATCAGTTAACCGGTGCTTATATTACCACATTATTTACACAGAGATTACCGGTGGCACAATTGTAATACGCCCCTTGGGATCAAAGTTATTGTGGTGTTTGTATGTATGTTATCAAGTCCGCGGAGCGTAAATTATCATCTTATTTACACATAAGTTAATGTGGTTATGTTTTTCAACCACTTTTTTCCTCGGGTCAAAATTACCATGATGTTTGCGGGTAAAATTATCAGGTCTGTGGGGTATGTTTCTAATAACCTTTTTCCATGATTCAAAATTACCGCGGTGTTTTTGTGCAAGTTATCATGTCTACAGTGCGTATTATTACCGTGCTATTTGCATAGAGTTACCGGGGTTTGTTTTCAATAATAATTTTCTATGTCAAATTTATTATGGTGTTTGTACGTAAAAAATCAGATCAATTGTATATAAATTATCATGATATTTACATAGAAGTTACCGAGGGTATATTTCTACATCAATCTTTCTTCGGTCAAAGTTAGCATAATATTTATACATAAGTCGTTAGGTCTTAAAATGTAGTACAAATGATGCACCAGTGAAGCTAAAAAACCCACAGAACATGTTTTCTTTAGCCAACATTAAGTTTTCCTAACTAGGCCTCTACCCAGCATTGGGCTCAGCCCAACTCTTTTCTCTCTCTGAAGCTCACCGAGAATGTTGTCTTCAACCTCCAACAAACCAAACCTGTATTGAAAACACAAACACAAAGAACTCCCAATTATCCATCATACTTGTTGATTTAGGCTACAAATCGCGTGGACTTCAACATGAAATTCGTAGATCTCTTCATTGCGAATCCATTTTAGTTGAGCATGCAACTTATTGTTCAAAGATGAAGGAGATCGATGCAAGTGTCCTATCTTGAAGTCGGCGCTCGCCGGAGCCTATGGCCGTGGCTAGAAGCTCGGACAGCAGAACAGCGGGCAGCAGAGGCTGCTATGGCCGAGACGTGTGCAGGACGTGGTCGTCGATGGGCTGCAGGGGAGGCAGGAATCCCGTGGAGATGGTGACGGAGCTCCTGCACCGGTGAGTGTTGGCCATGGAAGGAGCTGCTCGCTGGAGCAGCAGGCTATGGCGGCGACTTGAGGAGGCGCTGGTGCTCGAGGGGTGCAAGGGAATAGGTGGTTCGATCGAAGCTGCTGATGGCCGGTCAATGCATGCTCGCGGCGCCATGCCTGGGCGCTCGGGCATAGGAGTCGCGAACGGAGGAGATGTAGATCGAGCGGTTGCCAGATCTGATGGGGCTGGATGCGGTAGATCATTTTGAAATCTGCCACATGGTTTCCAGATACGTAATCTGATCAAATATATATTTATATAAACATATCACTCACAATGATCGTCGACCATGACTAAACAATCAGACCGTTGACGCAACACAACACTAGGGTACATGTACGAGTGAAGTAGAACGAGGCGATAGTATTGAGAAGGCAATTCTCATGGCTTGGCCTCTGGCTTTGGGAAGTGGAACACGGGAACAGTGGGCATCTCAGGCTTTGGTGGAAGCTCCACCTTTGGCATCTCGGGCTTCGGCGGGAGCTCCACCTTGGGCATCTCCGGCTTGGGTGGCAAGTGAACCTCCGGGAACATCGGCAGCTCCACCTTGGGCAGCTCAGGCTTGGGTGGCAAGTGCACCTCAGGGACCGGTGGCAGCTCCACCTTGGGAAGCTCAGGCTTGGGTGGCAAGTGCACCTCCGGGACCGGCGGCAACTCCACTTTGGGAAGCTCAGGCTTAGGTGGAAGGTGTACTTCCGGGAACGATGGAAGCTCTACCTTGGGAATCTGTGGCACCTCGGTCTGGTGCTCTTCCTGGGACAGAACGGTCTCCTCAAGGATTCTCGCCGCACTACTCATGGCCACACATAAGAGAAGAAGCCCAAGGAGGAAGATAGCTGAGTTTTTCGGAGCCATAGTGTTAGACATGTGCAGCACCGGCTATCTCTGGCAGTGCAGTTTGAGTGTGGGAGAGATAGCTGGGGCTGCTGGCTACTTATAGGGTGCAAAAGTCGGCGAGGGGAGAGAGTACAGATTTTGCAACAAGTTTGTTCATCTACTTGTCTGCACTTCTGTCCAATGTATGTGTTTCTGAGTCTATATTTGTTCAAGGTTTGGGAGCGGCAGCACTCTGGTTCTTTGGGCTGGAGTTGTGGACGCAGTGAAGCTGCGTTCAGGGCAGGTACGACCATTCAAAACATCAACAATGTTAGGTCAGCTGTGAAGACGAAACGTTGTCCAAGGGTTCCACAAAACAAGCAATGCAAAAGTCAACAAACATTTTTTGCCGAAGCAAAACCAGCCTGGAGTTTAACAGGCTAACAATTAACTCGGAATATGAATCACAACATTGTTATAATATGTTGGTTTTTCAGAGTTTTGAGAGATAAGGGCGTCTTCAACGATGACCCGCAAATTTGCTTCGGCATGTCCCGTCAATTTTTTTTTTTTTGCTCCGGCATCTGTCCGCGGACACTGATGCCGGAGGCTGCCATCCAACACTGCACACATACATTTCAACAACGGTTCAAACTAATCAGACGAAATTCGTGCAAATTGGGCAGATTTCATTCAAGTTCAGATATAATTTACATAAATGGACGATTTTTCGATCATTTTACTAAAAATTAGTATTTAAAAAACTAAACCCGATATGGAACGACCACCTGCCGTCGTCGTTGTCGTCCCTCCAGCGTCGCAAGGATGCCGAAGGGTTGCGGCAGCCTTGTTCGGCAGCTGCCTGCCGCTTGCGGAGGAGCCACTCCGCCTCTTGTTGCGCTGTGCGGAGGGCCGCCTTGGCCACTGCAGCGGAGCCCTGGGGGCGGCCTGCCCCTGCCGGCGTTGGCGAGCAGTCGCTAAACGAACCACTCCTCACCGATCTTGGCGAGCTCGCCGTCAAGGCGGCAGCGGCGCCTGGCGGCCGTCTCCGCGGTGGTGACGGAGCGGTCGATCGCCCACACTGCAGCGACGTCAGGGTCGTTACAGAATCATTCCGGCGCCACATCGCTTTTGGCGAACGCGAAGCGGCGATCGACATTGCGCCAGTCGTACCTCGTTTGCTGCCTCGCCGCGTGCTCCGCCTCGGACCTGACGGCCCTCGAGCCCGAGGCACCGCCATAATCGCCTCCTTCGAGGTAGTGGAGAATGCGGCCATGCGCGTTAGCAATCGCGGGCAATGGCTCCTCCATTATTAGGTGGCGGTGGTGTCGTGGTGGTGACGACAGCCCGTCAATCCGCGTGTAGCGGCTGTGCGGCTGGGGTGACACCGGCTCATCCTTCATGCGGCGGAGGCGCTTGGGGGACGCCGACTCCTTCTTCACGTGGCAACCAATGTGGAGGCCGCGGTCGCGCGGCGGGGGCGCCGGCTCGTCCTTCACCTGCTGGAGTGGAGGCGCCGGCTCCCGCTTCACGCGGATGCACGACGGGGGTGGTGGCTTCTCCTTCACGCACACCGATGATGGTGGCGCCGGGCCCATGTGATGGAGCCAAAAATCCGTCATGAACTCCATCTGATGGACAAATTCTTCTTCTGTTAGAGCCGCCTCCGAGAGAAGATGGGGACGTTGTTATGGCTGGTTCTCCTCGTCGCCGACTATCTCCTTTTCGAAGGAGCATGCTGATGTCTACTACACAACCTTCTTCTTGTAGACGTTGTTGGGCCTGCAAGTGCACAGGTTTATAGGACAGTAGCAAATTTCCCTCAAGTGGATGACCTAAGGTTTATCAATCCGTAGGAGGCGTAGGATGAAGATGGTCTCTCTCAAACAACCCTGCAACCAAATAACAAAAAGTCTCTTGTGTCCCCAACACACCCAATACAATGGTAAATTGTATAGGTGCACTAGTTCGGCGAAGATATGGAGATACAAGTGCAAAATAGATAGTAGATATAGGTTTTTGTAATCTGAAATAATAAAAACAGCAAGGTAGCGAACGGTAAAAGTGAGCGTAAACGGTATTGCAATGGTAGGAAACAAGGCCTAGGGTTCATACTTTCACTAGTGTAAGTTCTCTCAACAATAATAACATAGATAGAACATATGACAAGCCCTCAACATGCAACGAAGAGTCACTCCAAAGCCACTAATAGCGGAGAACAAACATAGAGATTATGGTCGGGTACGAAACCACCACAAAGCTATTCTTTCGGATCGATCTATAAAAGAGTTCGTACTAGAATAACACCTTAAGATACAAATCAACCAAAACCCTAATGTCACCTAGATACTCCATAGTCACCTTAAGTATCCGTGGGCATGATTATACGATATGCATCACACAATCTCAAATTCATCCAACCAACATAAAAGTACTTCAAAGAGTGCCCCAAAGCTTCTACCGGGGAGTCAAGAATGTGTGCCAACCCCTATGCATAGGTTCCCAGGTGTCACGAAACCCGCAAGTTGATCACCAAAACATACATCAAGTGGATCAATAGAATAACCCATTGTCACCACGGTTATCCCACGCAAGACGTACATCAAGTGTTCATAAAAGACTCAATCCAATAAAATAACTTCAAAGAAGAAACTTAATTCATCACAAGAAAGTAGAGGGGGAGAAACATCATAAGATCCAACTACAATAGCAAAGCTCGGGATACATCAAGATCGTGCCTTAGAGGAACACGAGAGAGAACACGAGAGAGAGAGAGAGAGAGATCAAACACATAGCTACTGGTACATACCCTCAGCCCCGAGGGTGAACTACTCCCTCCTCGTCATGGATAGTGCCGGGATGATGAAGATGGCCTCCGGTGATGGGATCCCCCTCCGGCAGGGTGCCAGAACGGGGTCCCGATTGATTTTTGTTGTCTACAGAGGCTTGTGGCGGTGGAACTCCCGATCTATCTTCTGTTCTCGAAGTTTTATGGTACGTAGGTATATATGGGTGCAGGGAGAACGTCGGTGGAACTACGGGGACCCCACGAGGCAGGGGAAGGGCGCGCCCCCCATCCTCGTGAGCACCTCCCGTATCTTCTGATGTGGGGTCCAAGTCCATCAGGTGGGTTTCCTTTCAAAAATAAATTCTCCAGTTGATTTCGTTCCGTTTTGACTCCGTCTGATATTCCTTTTCCTCGAAACACTGAAATAGGCATAAAACAACAAATCTGGGCTGGGCCTCTGGTTAATAGGTTAGTCCCAAAAATAATATAAAAGTGGATAATAAAGCCCAATATTGCCTAAAACAGTAGATAAAGTAGCATGGAGCAATCAAAAATTATAGATACGTTGGAGACGTATCAAGCATCCAAGCTTAATTCCTGCTCGTCCTCGAGTAGGTAAATGATAAAAAAAGAATTTTTGATGCGGAGTGATACTTTGGCATAATCTCAATGTAAATCTTCTTAATTTTGATATGAATATTCAGATCCGAAAGATTCAAGACAAAAGTTCATATTGACAAAGAAATAATAATACTTCAAGCATACTAATCAAAGCAATCATGTCTTCTCAAAATAACATGGCAAAAGAAAGTTCATCCCTACAAAATCATATAGTTAGGCTATGCTTCATTTTCGTCACATAAAGATGTTCTCAACTTCTATACCCCCGATGACAAGCCAAGCAATTGTTTCATACTTAAATAATCTCAAACTTTTTCAACCTTCATGCAATACATGAGTGTGAGCCATGGACATAGCACTATGGATGGAATAGAATATGATGATGGGGATTGTGTGGAGAAGACAAAAAGGAGAAAGTCTCACGTTGACGAGGCTAATCAACGGGCTATGGAGATGCGCATCAATTGATGTCAACGTGAGGAGTAGGGATTGCCATGCAATGGATGCACTAGAGCTATGAATGCTCAACAAAAGAAAACTAGTGGGTGTGCATCGAACTTGCTTGCTCACGAAGACCTAGGGCATTTGAGGAAGCCCATCATAGGAATATACAAGCCAAGTTCTATAATGAAAAATTTCCACTAGTATAAAAAGACAACTTATGAGACTCACTACATGAAGAACAAGGTGCTACTTTGAAGCACAATATATGAGACTCACTACATGAAGAACAAGGTGCTACTTTGAAGCACAAGTGTGGAAAAAGAGATAGTAGCATTGCCCTTTTTTATTTTCTTTTTATTTTTTATTTTTTTATTTTCTTTTTTTGGGCCTTTCTTCTTTCTTTCTTTTTGGCCTTTCTCCCCTTTTTTTGGGCAATGCTCTAATAATGATGATCATCACACTTCTATAGATTACAACACAAGGATTACAACTCGAAACTTAGAACAAGATATGACTCTATATGAATGCCTCCGGAGGTGTACCGGGATGGTGCAATGAATCAAGAGTGACATGTATAAAAAATAATGCATGGTGGCTTTGCACAAATACGATGTCAACGACAAGATCATGCAATGGTAATATGACAAAAGTAATGTATGTCATGATGATGATGATGGAAGTTGCATGGCAATATATCTCGGAATGGCTATGGAAATGCCATAATAGGTAGGTATGGTGGCTGTTTTGAGGAAGATATAAGGAGGTTTATGTGTGATAGAGTGTATCGTATCACGGGATTTGGATGCATCGGTGAAGTTTGCACCAACTCTCAAGGTGAGAAAGGGCAATGCACGGTACCGAAGAGGCTAGCAATGGCGGAAAGGTAAAAGTGCGTATAATCCATGGACTCAGCATTAGTCAAAAGAACTCATATACTTATTGCAAAAATTTAGAAGTCATCAAAAATCAAGTACTACGCGCATGCTCCTAGGGGGATAGATTGGTAGGAAAAGACCATCGCTCGTCCCCGACCGCCACTCATAAGGATGCACAAGCCAGGTACACTTCATGTTTCAAATTTGTTACACAACTTTAACCATACGTGCATGCTACGGGATTTGCAAACTTCAACACAAATATTTCTCAAATTCATAATCACCCAACTAGCACGACTATGATATTATCACCTCCACATCTC